TCGCAGTAGAATAGGACACAGGAGAAGAAAGTTCAACACTCTTACTTCAGCAATAAAAACTAAAAAATGAAACGCAAATGTGATGTTTAACTAAATAAATGTTTGCTTATTCGTATGGTTGAATTTGATCGTCAAAGGTCTGCAGCAAAGACATTGGTTTATAAAGTGAGATTAAATCAATAAAGTATATTTGTGTTATGTAACATATTTGATCATTGCAAGTTTGTGTAATGTTCTGAGTTTGCATTTCACTTTTTAAAATTATTTTAAGGGACACTAAATCTATTTGGTGCAAGTGAGATGAGTGAATGCATGCTCACATTTAGTCTAGAACTACAATAACCGTCATGTCCACACTCACACTGCGCTCACAACACCTCTGAACTTACTGCCGATTTCTCTCAACATGGGGACAGAAGAGGTCAGTCAATAAATGGGAAAACAGTAACTTGTGTAACTCAGATATTTTGTTGTACATTTAGTAACGTGAATCTGATTACGTAACTCTCATTACTTGTAATGCATCTCAACCCAACACATTTTATAATAATAAATGAAACTAGATTAAAAAGTTTGTAGACAAACTTTAAGTTGGCTTGAGAAAGTTTGCACCAGGAAGTTTTAAGAAGTTTAAAGTACTTTATAGTTTAAATTAGTTTCAAATTATAATTAGTTTAAAGTGTAAATTAGTTTGAATTTTAAAGTAGTTTAAAGTTTAAAGTAGTTTTAAGTTTAAATTAGTTTTAAGTTTAAATTAGTTTTAAGTTTAAATTAGTTTTAAGTTTAAAATAGTTTGAAGTTTAATGTAGTTTGAAGTTTAAAGTAGTTTGAAGTTTAAAGTAGTTTGAAGTTGTTTAAAGTTTTAAGTAGCTGAAGTTATGCTGTTGCTGCATAGAATGTATTTTACTCTGGGTGGTTGCTAGGATGTTGCTATGTGGTTGCGTTCAAACACAAGCTTAATTATTTTAATTATTTAACTTCTTTGTTTGTGAATTTGTTTGTTTACTTTTTTGTTAATTTATTTTACTTTATTCTTGTCATGTAATAATAGCCCCACATGATGATATGGCCAAATAAATGCAATAGTTTCATGTGTGTGTGTGTGTGCGAACGAGCATGTGTGTTGTGCGTGTGTGTGCAATATAGAGTTTTTTTGGGGGGGTTTTCATGTGAAACATGTTATGAGTTCACATCTACTAAAATCTTTTGAGACCCGGAGGAAAAGTTGAGAAAAAGAGGGACACTAATGAAACGAGCCAAAGATAAAGCTGTGGCGGTTGCCTTTGAAAAAGTGCTTCTCATGATCTTGGGTAAGTATCACACAACCTATACAGCCATTATACAATGTACATTGCAGTCTGTGGTAACATCCATTTTATGTCATTTATGTCTCATAGGAAATGGAAAAGTAGCAATTGAAATCAAGTATGATCCAGATGAGATCCTTCCAGAGGAGAACTCAGAAGGAGTCATAAAAGTAAGTGTTACACTTCAGTCAATAACTAAATTTTTATTAGAAAAGCTTGTATTAAAATATATTAAATGTTGTCCCGTGCATACCAGATTACTGTAATTCAAGTCTACTGAAATCGGTTAATAAGTTTTGCTATGAGGAACATCTCTAAGGAACTAGCCAGTCACTTTCAGTTCTTGTCCTGTGGTTTAGCAAGAGCTGACCAGAGCTAACTATTAAATAACTTAATTTGCCAGGTAAATGACATCTCCTGGAATGAGTTTGAAGGTGCTGACAGTAATACTGAGGAGGATTTCCCATGGGACCTCCCTCGGGACCTCCCTCATTGACCACCACTCAACTTTCTCAACCCACACAGTTGCCAATATTTTCCAGAGAAGTGACCATCAAAAATGATATGTTTTCTCTTTAATGTTTGGTATTGACCATAATGTCAAACGTGTGCCGCTTTACAGTCATACTCTGTGGTAAACCTCTTGATTTCAGTGCAACTGACCTCAGATTCCTCTTCGCTATTTCCAAAGCAATTCTCTGTTTTTTAAGTGGCTGAGACAGTGGCCACACAGTTTGAGGGTTGAAGGTCAGGTCAGATGTCAAGCAAAGAAAGTTGTGTAATTGCATAAGGAATTGTGGGAAGCCGGAATGCATCACTTTAAAACTTTATAAACCTGTTGTTAAAATGACTTACATCTTTTATTTGTGCTACCTTATAATACATTAAGAGGTTGTAGTATGTTGTCATTAAAAGGGTTTTTGTGTGTTGTGATGTGTTATGATTTTTCTGCTGTGTTAAATAAAACTACATTGTATCTTAATCATATGTGTCTCTCTTTCCTTCATTGCTTTTGATTATTGTTCAGTTGGCTGTCTTTTCTTTGTAGAATAGATGTTCAATCATGTGTTTTGGGTCTTAGAAATGGAATTATCCAGATTGAAGAATAATATCAGATTGAATTTATAGAACCAAGGTTACTCTGTTTTCCTATAATTCCTTTTGCCTATTTGTCGGAGTGATATTTTACTGTCTTAGAGCTGATGTACTTGCTTCTTAACCTAATTGACACTAGGTGGCAGTGTCTGCTTCTGTTCAACTGAATTGTACAGGGACTTTTTTAGTATACGCATGCAGTTTAAAAAAAAAAGAGTACTCTCAGCAAGCCATTGGCAACAGCGGAAGACCCTAAGAAAAAATACCCTTAGATTGTAGCGTAGGACCATAGACAGTAAAAGAAATGGACACAGCGACCCCATAGACTTCAACCAGACTTCAACGGAGAAAAGTGAAGGACGAGGGAGAACTAAACTCAGCTGGAAACACTCAGACTGGCACACATTTAATCTGTATAAAAACATATTTATGATAATATTGACTAATTAGTTTGAGCAAAAAAATAAAATAAAAAATATATATATATATATATATATATATATATATATATATAAATGATGCACACACTTCCTCTTCATTCTGCATTTTAGATGATTCAATCTGCATGCACTGAAAATATAAAAATCCCTTATTCCAGTTCAGTGACAATATCAAATATGATTGTTTTGAAGAGATAAAGATTTTTCATTTGTTTTCATGATTTTTGTTAATACTTGTGTTTTGTGTATACTTAGGCTATATGTTGAGGCTTGTATTTGTCTCTCATTATGTAGGCCAATGAGAGATTATTACACTGTAAAAAAAAAAGTAGCCTACAATAATTTAACAAATTACAGCTTCATTAATTAAGTTACACAAGATTTAACTAGGAAAGATTTTTTAAAATGAGTTGAAATTACTTAAACAGCCAATTTGATTAAAAACTTAAGTTCAATGTCTGCCTTACGGCCCCGTGAATCGGATCCGGCATTCGATGTGCGCTATAAGTAAATAGTATTAATTTTGATTTCATGACGACTTTAAACTTTTTTTTTTTTTTTTTTTTTTTTTTTACAAAATCAACATTTGAAAAGAAATGCCTGAAAATTCATATTTCTATTTACTTTCTAACACTGAGAATGTTTATTATCAAGGAAAGATGTTATCAAATCGAAAGCATTACAAAATGAGAAGATAAAATTTAGCTTTCGCGTTTGATTAAAGCAGTGAATTTCCACATTTTGGCAAATTAAGAATCTTGATATCAAAAGGTCTAGTTCTACTGGATTTGTTGAGGCGTGTGTGTGTGTGTTTACAGGGAATGACATTAATAACCTCTTGTTTGGAATAATAAGTCATAAACACGTGTTGATGAGTAGGCCTATGGTGAGAGGTTTATTAATCAGAGATCGGGTTGGTTCTGCCAAGCCCTGAGGCACTTGGCAGAACCACCAGCACATGCAGTGCTCGATTCCTCTTGCCCTGAAACAACCCGTTAGGGAGAGAAGAATGTGATTTTTCGTGATCACAGCTTGGTTCACTCTTTCAGTTCTCTGTCCTCATTTTCACTTTCCAAGGTATAATGCCAGCGGGGGTCTCTCCATTTACCCACGAGGTTGAAATACCAGTCATTTATTGTATTTCACTAGAAACAAACTATAACGACAAATCTTTTTTTCTTCTTCTGCTTGCACGTAAAACCACAACCACAAATGACCACATGCACAAAGATTAAAACACACGCATGCCATCTTGGGCAAATCCCAGTGCTAGTGTTGCATAAATATTTTGTTCAGCTCTCAAAATGAATTTAAATAATTGTCATTTATATTATAAATGTAACTAAATAAAAGGCACAATAAATTGTTATAATATTATCTAAAAAAGAATATTCAATTCAAAATAGCCTATTTATTATTCTTAATAATTTTCACAATAAATATATCGGTCTAAAAAGAAGCCTAAATTTAACATCAGTCAACAGATTTATTGTTAAAAAAAAACTAAATATTGAAATGAATAATATGAGAGGATTTGTGACTGTGGTCTGGTTTATTACCGCAGGCCGAGACCAATAGCCTACCTAAACCAGAGGCAAGAACGACCAGAAATCTACCAAAGAAAGGATCTGTGATTGCAGGCACATTTGGAAATGACCAGCATGTCACAAATAGCTACACAGTGTTATAAGCATATTCTGTGGTTAACCTCCTAATGTCAATGTAAGTTACTTAACATTTCTCTTTTCACTCTTTGTTTTTTTTTACACCTGTGCTGCTATACCAGAGTCTTTTTAAAGGCTTCGAGTGTTTGACACTTGACCCAAGGAAAATCAGTTTAAATTGTAATAAAAATGTAATTCTCATCACATTAAGAGAAGCCTAAAAACTGCCAACACACAATCTCATCACAATTAGTAGGCTATATTTTAGATTCGGTGATTGATTTGTATTTAGATTGATCATCTTGGATACGTTAGAAAATGTTTTAACAGAATTAAGTTTTTGTCGATCAGCTCATCTGTGACTAAGCCTTCAGATGTAGCCTAATGATATATAGCTAAGTTGTCAACAACTAGTTCGTGAACAATAAACATGTGTCAACATGCCACAATGCGAGTTTTAACTCAAACGATATCACTACTCTGTCACAATTACAAATACATTGGAATGTATTTGTTTTTTTTTATTTAGGTTTCGTTTGTACCTTGGGCTCTTAGATACCACAACCTTTTTAAGATGAATTAAAGAGCAATAGTTGTGACTCCAACATGAGATTAACACATGGTCTTGTGGCTTCATAACGTTCATAAAGGGGAAATCTGTCTTGATTTGGGATACACTGGAATGAAAGACGCAAGTCAGCATAATTAGAACAAACCGCGGAGTTAAAGACGTCTCGAAAACAGAAAGTACATCAATGGTGCCTCAACACTTTTCGATCCAAAATGCAGTAGCCTATATAAACAGCAGAACTGCTGTGAGTATATCATATAACAACAAACACAAGTTGTGAAGGATACAACAATTCAACAAGGTAAGCAGTCAAATTAGAGGCTTAATTAATCGAATTATTTATTGCTTGAAATTACTGAATCCTATTGCTTTAAACTCATGGTCTCCGATCCTCTATAGGCATCTCTCAGAATGGACCTTCATTATGTGGCCTGGCTGTGCACCTTTTTCTGCTTTGCGCAGGTTTGGTCATTGCCAACAAACTGCATCCTTCGAAAGGACTTAATGGAGAAAACCTGTAGATTTATAGAGACTGCGGTAAGAATCGTTGCAGATAATTTTCAGAGGCACAAGGTTCATAGAAGGCAAAAAAAGAAAGAAAAATATATTGGTTATTATTTATATATATATGATATATATATACGGTATATATATATATATTTATATATAGGCCTAGCTATATTCTTTAACTAAATACAATTTTGTTTTAGGGTGGCCTTTTCCCTTCGCAATGCTTGGACGACCGTGTTCCCATATCTTTCCCGCAAAATGTGTTCGAGTCCAGCAACAAGAATCAGGTAAAAACTTTGAATAACCGGTTTAATTTGCACTACTTTAGGTTGTTTTGTGGACATGATGTCACTCTTCAACTCTTACTGTTTCTGAAGGTTTCTGGTGTTGAAAAGGCTGTTTACCAGACACTCCAGAATATTGACGCACTGTTTGAGGACTACAGTGTTCCAGACCAGTGGGATGCAGAAAAAATGACTGAGTTTCGAGGCATCGTATACCGGCAGATTGAGGAAAGCAAATGCGTAAGAAAACAGCAAACTAATTTTTTGTTAATGTCTTCAACTTTAGAGATCTTGTCTTTATTCAAATGATATGTAAATAAATTATAATTATAATTACATTAAATTATAAAAGTAATTCGCGGACCTCGCCTAGGTCTAGGGCTAGGCTAGTTGCATGCTGTCTCAAAGCTGCCGCTACGAAAAATAGTTCTTTGCAAATAATCGCCCAACACAAACACGGCAACATAGCCTAGGTTATGGATTAATTATTTTTTATTATTATTTAGCTCCAATTAATTCATTTCACTAGCCCAATCCAGTTCGAGTCTTTTGGCGGTTTGTATAGTTCTTCCGAGTGATCTTTTCGTTTGTTAACTGTATATTGAACTTGAACGCCGAACTTGTAGAGTCAAAAGCTTTCGACATAAAATTAATAGGCCTAATGAAGTGCTCCGAACAACTTAAATTGCATTTTGAGACTCATGAAGCCCCAAGAGACGCTGGAAGTAGAACCGGTCAGTTGTTGCCCTGGATTTTATGCATTAGGCTATGCAAAAGAAATAGGCTATTTGACCGCTGGCTGGCTCAACTGACAAATCAGAATCAAGTAATATAGAGCGCTGTGTATTCCCCGATAGGTATGTTACAGAGATGGGGGAGATATATGGAGCTAATATTGTGCCATAATTAAACAAACAAATCCCCTAGCTTAGCGCCATCTACTGTTTTAGAAGAGGAAGTTGCTCAACTGCATTTGTGAGAAAATCGAGCCGAGAGATCTCATAAAAAGCCAAGTGTCTCACAATCATAACAAACAGATATGCATTTGTATGCACTAGATTTTGTATTTGTTCAAAGGTTACATCCAATTTGTAGGATGGTTTGTATTTATTTGGGAAATATTATCTAGGCTCATTTATTTATATTTGTAAAACACAATAGCCTACATATTTGTTACTCCACTGCATTTTTGCTCAAATTAACCTCGAGTTTGTTTTCAAAATGCTGATTTGTTTGTTTAATTATGCCAAAATATTAACTCCATAGAGATACCCCTTTAAGAACGATGTGGATTTACTTTACTTAAATTGTAAATGCAATTAACACTAATGAGGTAGGCTAATATAGCCCCCTTGGGGAAATATTTTATCTAATTTTATTTTTCACTTCAAAATAAAAACTAAAGCCTAATTTTTACTCCACAAATCTAAAAACATTAATGTGTCCACAAATCCCTCATTTACAAATAAATACAACGTAATACAATGTCATAGATCACTATTATCTTTAGAAACAAAATGAGATCGGTTAACCTAGATTTAGTTTCAACTGACTAAATTAATGTAGATGATATTCAGATGGAATGACAAAATTAAAATACCATAGCCATTCATCAAATGTCTATGAGATTAGATTTTGTGTCATTTTTGGTCTAGAGAAAAAAATTTTTTTACCCATGTTATTTTTCATTCAGTATTTCATGTTTTCTGGGTCTTGGCAAATGTATACAGATCATGGGCAAGTCTGAAGCGGCCCAGGATTTTCCCAGCAGAGACGCCTCACTTAAGGTTTACTTCGAGACAATATCCTCAACTCTGAAAGAAAAGGTACGCTTGTGTCCCAAACCTAAATCTAGTCATATATTACCTCTTATATAGGCTACAGTAGGCTAATATTTTTTTTTATGTTGAATGCATTTTTTTTCTGCGCAGGATTTCAGTTACTGCGCATGGGAAATCGCAAGAAGTGAGATTCTCCGCACTCTGAACTTCATATTGAAGAACAACTCTGACATCATGTATGGATCTCCAGAACTCTAGATGCTTACTCGCATGCTGTCTCATTTATGTATTTATTTATTCATTCATTCATTCATTCATTCATTCATTCATTCATTCATTTATTTATTTATTTATTTATTTATTTATTTATTCATTTATTTATTTATTATTAATTTATTTATTTATTGTCTCCTTTGTGGCTTTAAAGGTGTATTAGCTTTCTAAGCCTGATCACTGTAAGGGAAATAACTCTCAGTTTCACTTTTGATTTTGACTTGTTACGTCACCATTTCCATTCAGCACTGGACAGTTCACAACTTGAACACTCCAGTAGACTATTCATTCATTTACAATGTTGTATTTTTGTATGTTTTTTTGTTGTAATTTCTGAATAAAAAATACATTTTGAATACACTGACCTCTCAGAATATTGTGTTATCAAAGTATCATTTGTGAAATTATTACCTTAAATATCTGAATGAAAGAGGTCAATGCAGATCAATAAAAAAAAGAGAGAAAAATATGAAAAAGGAAGGAAGGTGGATGAGTAAATATTTGGTGTATGTGGAATATTGAGGTTGATATTTAAACTACTTTATATTATATTTAAACTCTCTCTCTCTCCCTCTCTCTCTCTCTCTCTCTCTCTCTCTCTCTCTCTCTCTCTCTCTCTCTATATATATATATATATATATATATAGGCTATATTATAATAAGATTCAAATAGCTTTATTGGCATGGTGAAAGAAATCTTTACATTGCCAAAGCATTAACACTTTAATAATAATAACAAAAAATAAATAATAATGAATAAAAAAAAATGTTTTTTACATGAAAATAAACAGCAATAAAAATGTTTAAAATGTCTCTCTCTCTCTGTGTATGTGTGTGCGTGTGCGCATGTGCGGGCGTCTGAGGAGTGTGTGAGCGTCTGAGCGAGTTGTGGCGTGTTTGAGTGAGTTGTTCGTTTTCTCCTTTTCTCTTTATTTTGTTTAGATATTTTGGTTTAGTGTTTATTTAATTGTCACCGGTTTTTTCACCTAAGGGTGGAAAATGGGGACAAATTCAGATGGTTGTGTTTCTTTAACCGGTCAACATGGGTGCAAATGTTTACAGTTGAGGATTTAGTTGTGATCAGCAGCGAAATTGGTGCTTGTAACATTGTGTCCGCATCAAGGATGAACAAGGCTGTTGTTGTCTTTTTGAAAGAAGTCTCATTGGTTCAGCATTTTGAATTTGGTTTATCCGTTAGAGATACTTTTTTACCAGTTTTGCCATTGTCGAATCCTTCCAAGAAGGTTATCCTTTCAAATATGCCCCCATTCATTTCTAAAGATTCACTAGAGCGTTTGTTAGAACCCTATGGTAAACTAATGGGGCCGATTAAAATGATCCCTTGAGGACTAAAAAAAATCCAGAACTCAAACATGTGATGTCATTTAGACGTCAGACTTTCATGATCCTGAACGCTGAATTTCAAACTTTGAATAGGTCAGCGAAAACTACTGTGCTGGGTAAAGATTATACCATTTATATCAGTACTGAATCGATTAGGTGTTTTACTTGTGGAAAGTACGGTCATACAAAACTGGTATGTTCAATTAATGATGAGGCTAACACTAATGTGAATGAGCGTAATCATTCTACGGAAGAATTGCCTCCTGCTCCAGTAAATAATGAAGGTGCCAGAATTGATCAGGTAATTGAAGCGCCTTCTCTCTCTAAAGATGGAGAGAGTTCTAACGAGCCTATAATGAACGATTACGTTGACGATTTGATACATTCTTCCGTGAATCCGGTTGTAAGTGTAAACGACAGCACAGAGCGGGCTGAAGTAGAGCGCGCCGCGATCGGCGAACCGGAACGATCAGTAGAGCGGGCTGAGCTCGTGATGCCTGGCGGAGAGTTAGTCGACTCGCAGGCATCAGGATTTAGCCTGTCTCAGGGGCCCTTCATCACATATTAATATTAAAATAACTTAATTTCAGAGCACCACAAAGTCAGACCTCAGCACCTTTATGTACCTTTAATGTAAGATTACACTGGGGCGGCAGTGGCTCAGTGGTTAATGTAGGTTGTCTACTAACCGGAAGGTTGGTGGTTCAATCCCTGGTTCCACCTGATCCAGTGTCGAGGTGTCCATGAGCAAGACACCTAATCCCAGCTGCTCCCGACGAGCTGGATGGCGCCTTGCATGGCTGACACCGCTGCGGTGTATGAATGAGTGAGTGAATGGGTGAATGTGAGGCAAATTGTAAAGCCTTGGTGGCCATTGGGTCTGTGAAAGCGCTATATAAATGCAGTCCATTTACCATTACCATTTAAGATCGTTCTTAGAATCTTAGGCCAGATACCAATTTAAAATCATAACATAAAAACTGCAATGGTACTGTTTTTAAAATCATGTGTAGTAGGCCTAAGTGTAAGTGTGTGTGTAAACATGCTTTAATCAAGTAGACTTCAAAAGCTTTTGAATTTGAGCTTACAGTTATTTCATCAACCTGTCTTTTACATAAACGTACAAAATAGATACTTTAACTTAGTCCTCATATAGAGGAGGGTTGCTGCTAGCTCCGTAAAGGTATTTCTGTCCCTCCCAAACTGCATTGAAATGGTATGTTTAGCAGCCAGAAATAAAAAAAATTCAGGGGGAGAAACCCCCTGACCCCTCCTAACATGATCCATATCACCCGTCAGAAAACAATTGCAACGTCTCAGATTGTGCCCCTCCAGAATTTTGGCTTGCATGACGCCCCTGCTCAGGGCGATGCTGGTGTGTTGATAGAAGGAAGTGAAGTTCATTCAATGGATTCTGATAGTGACACTTCTGATATAGCAGAAAATCTTACTATTGCAAATTCTCAGGGAGGGTCTGCAGAGAATCGTCACAATTTTAAATTAAAACATCTTTATACAGTTAGTCAAATTAATGATTTTTTTGGACAATACCTTTAACCAGCGAAAACCAAAACTTGAGAAATACTTCCCAGATTTACAACTCTTCGTTGATCCATGTAGGCCTACGATGGCAATAAGAAAGGCAACACCGGAGGAGCTTGATCAGCCTAAACGATACAGGCTAAAAAAATACCTGAGCACTGTTAAAAAAAGATAAAAAGCTCTGTTCAAAGACTATAGGGGTCATGATTGTCAGTTTATTTGGGGGGGGGGGGACTTTTGGAATTGGAACTTTTAACATCAACGGATGTCGAAACACAACAAAGAGACTTGCTCTAATTATTTAAAATTGAAAAAGGCAGACATTATTATGCTTCAAGAGACTCATTCTGACTTACAGAATCAGACACAGTCGACTTGTGATTGGAAGGGAAATAGTTTAATGAGCCACGGGACTAATCTTAGTGCTGGTGTTGCTATACTTTTCTCACTAGGTGTCTGTAATCAACCAGTTATGTTTGAGATAATACCTGGTCGACTTTTAAGAGCAGATATTATGGTTGGACAAATAGGGTTTTCTTTTTTTAATGTATATGCTCATGTTGGACATGAGCGTAAGATATTTTTTGAAAAGTTATCAGATGCCTTGTCAAATTGCCCACAGGATAATGTTGTGGTAGTTGGAGGTGATTTTAACTGTACTATAAACCCTGATTTAGATAGGAATCACCATGAACCTCACTCAAGTTCTGCAGAAGTTTTAAAAAATGATATTGGTTATCATGATCGTGTTGATGGAGAGATAGTTTTCCTGGGGTTAAGCAGTATACCTGGTTAAAAGTTAACTCAAATTCTTTGTCTGGAGCGAGACTTGACCGATTTTACGTTGCCAAGAGTAATAGTGGTAGATTTTATAACAGCCTAATAGTACCATCTTTTCTATCTGACCATCATTATATCTCCGTAGCTGTTTCTGTCCTGTCTTCTAACATTCACAAATCACACTGGCACTTTAACAACAGATTATTACAGAATCACTCTTTTGTTCACTCTTTTGGCCTTTTTTGGCAATCTTGGAGGGAGGAGAGAAGTAGTTTTCCTTGTTAGGAAAAGTCAGTGCTGGGACATAGGCAAAGTGCACATTAAGTTGTGTTGCCAACAATATACTGCCTATAACACCAGTTCAGTTCAGTTCAGTTTCAGTTTAGTTCAGTTCAGTTCAGTTTCAGTTTTCTTCGAGAACTCTCGAAGAAAAAATGAGATCTCTTGAAGAAGACATTCTGAGACAAAGTAACCATGGTGACTCTGCAGATTCCATTGAGAGGAATAAATTCCTTCTAAAGACTTTGTTGGAGGAGCAAGGAAAAGCAGCCCTCTTAAGGACCAGACATTCTCAATTAAATGAAATGGACACTCCCTCTATATTCTTCTTTGGTCTGGAAAAAAAAACCAAGAGAACATAAGTACTTCCATAAACTGAATTTTCCACAAGGTGGTGTGACAACTGACCAGCAGGAAATCCGCACTCATGCACTTTCCTTTTATGAGGACCTCTACTGTGCTGAACCATGTGACAGATCAGCAGCAGAACAACTTTTATGTGATCTACCACAGTTATCAGAGGAAGATCAACTTATCCTTGAGAACCCTATATCCTTTGCTGAACTTTCTCTTGCTCCTTTCTCCTGAAACTTCAGTTTCAGTTTTCTTCGAGAACTCTCGAAGAAAAAATGAGATCTCTTGAAGAAGACATTCTGAGACAAAGTAACCATGGTGACTCTGCAGATTCCATTGAGAGGAATAAATTCCTTCTAAAGACTTTGTTGGAGGAGCAAGGAAAAGCAGCCCTCTTAAGGACCAGACATTCTCAATTAAATGAAATGGACACTCCCTCTATATTCTTCTTTGGTCTGGAAAAAAAAACCAAGAGAACATAAGTACTTCCATAAACTGAATTTTCCACAAGGTGGTGTGACAACTGACCAGCAGGAAATCCGCACTCATGCACTTTCCTTTTATGAGGACCTCTACTGTGCTGAACCATGTGACAGATCAGCAGCAGAACAACTTTTATGTGATCTACCACAGTTATCAGAGGAAGATCAACTTATCCTTGAGAACCCTATATCCTTTGCTGAACTTTCTCTTGCCGTCCAGGAGCTGAGCCCTGGGAAGT